TCCGTCAAATCCAGGGCCCAGTTCGGTCGGCGAGTCGCATCTCCCGAGAAAAAAGTCGGGCCACGCCCGAAGACACATCCGAGAACTTCACAGATATCCGCCCTCACCCCATCCTCTCCCCCACGCGGTGCCGAGGACATGCTGTACGTCCGCCCCAGAGCGCCAGACCCGGAGAGTGCGCCGCGGAGCCGTGCGAGCTCGAGTGTTGCTGGCGCTAGCTCACCAGCGTGGACGATGACAGCGGGAGGACTTCACGAGCCTGTCCCCGAAGTCGCTTCAGGAGGGGGAGGCGGGGCAAGCTAGGTGCGCTCGCGCCTTATCTGACAGGCTGGCCCTCCCACCCATGCCTTCCCACTGCACTGATTGGTTTCTCTGTCCGTCGACGCGTGTCGTAGCGGGCCTGGAATTCCGACCCCCCTCTTGTTTTGCGCAATCGGTCAAAAGGAGCTGCGTGCATCGGAGGAGGTGGCGGATGAGCAGAAGGATGAGCAGAAGGAACAGGAGGAGGACGGGGAGGAGGAGTAGGAGGAGGAGGAGGAGGAGAAGAAGAAGGACAAGGACTAAGAGCAGCCGCACGAGCTGGAGTGGAAGGAACAGAACGAACAGGAGGAACAGGGGAAGGCGGAGGAGGGGACAGGAGGGAGGCGACATCGATGAGGAAGGGCTCCGATCCAGAAAAGCTGCACGGGCAACGACGTGAGTGTCACTCTGAACGACGGGGGCAAAGCGCGGATCCTAAAGTGAGGCTCGCGCTGCGTCGACAGCACCCGTCTGATGAGCCGCGGAGAGGGCAGGACACTCCGGGTGCATTTTCGGGTGAGAGGGGAGAGTAGCTTGGCATCTCTCGGACGTGTGTTTCTTCCCGTCGGGAACCATCGATCACGGGGAATGGACGTCCGAGCGATGACAAGGTAGAGTATTCGTACTGAGTACTGTGGAGCGGGGAAGGACCTGGGGCATGCATGGCGCGCTCGCGCCAGGTCTGACACCCCATCCCTCCCACCCATCCCTCCCCGCTGCGCGGAGTCTGACTCTGTCCGCCGACGGGTGCCGTGTCGGACCTGGAGCCCACGAGGCCCCCATCTCGTGGTTGCGCGCAGTCGGCCGGGAGGGGCAGGGCGGGGGAGCGGTGGAGGCAAGCGGTGGCGGCAGGAGGGTTAGCGGTGGAGGGGGCCGGCGGAGCGGTGGAGGGGCGGCAGGAGGGTTAGCGGTGGAGGGGGCCGGGCCGCGCTACGCCCCCCCCCCGAGGAGCACGCCCCGCCCCGCCGCGCCCCCGCGGCTGCTGGGCCTCTCCGGCCACCTACGCGCTGCAGGCCTCCGCCTGCAGCCCGGAGGCCGCCGGCCACGGCCCCGAGCTCGGCGGCTACGGCGCCGAGGCGCTCGGCCACGCCGCGCCGCCCTGCCCCTGCGGCTGGGCGCCCGCGGCCCCCGCCTGGGGCGCGGGCGGGGCCGAGGCCGCCCGCTCCCGGCCCGCGGGGCCCCTGCGCGCGCCCCCACGGCGGCGCCCGTGCGCGGGAGCCGCGGCTGCGCGCTCCCGCAGCCGGGGCGGCGCCCGCCTGGCAGGGCGGGCTGCCGGAGCCGGCCGCCCTGGTGGGGCGGGGGCCGGCCGTGCCCTACGCCCTGCAGCTCCCGGGCCCGCCCTGGCCCTGGGGCCCGGCGGCCCCCCCGCGCGCCGTGATCGGGGCCCAGCATGCTGCAGCACCCGGGCCCGGGCTGGCCCGGGTGCTGCAGCACCCGGGCCCGCCCTGGCCCCCACGGCCCGGCGGCCCCCCCGGCGAGGCCGCCCCGGCGGTGGCCGGCAGCGGGGACTTCGTTTACAGCCTGTAGGCGGTCTGCCCGCGGCGGCGCCGACGGCCCGGGGCTCCTGGCGCTCCCGGGGAGCAGCGGTGCCGTCGGCGCGTTTCCATCGCTGCGCATTTTTTTTCCGCGCGTTCTGAGAACCGCCCGCGCACAGTCAGTCAGGCACTGAGCCACTCAGTCAGTCAGTCAGCCAGGCAGTGGGAAGGAGGATCGCAGAAGAAAGAATCGCAGAAGCATAAACTTTGGGAGCTCCGCGCGGATTTCCCTTGGAACTGCGCCTCTGGGCCCCGGCGACGACTCCAGCGCCGCCCCGAGCGCCGATCAAGCAATGTGCGCAGATGTCCGAAAGTGTATGCCTTGGCCGGTGTCTTTTCTTCTAGTCGAGCTCCGTGCCTGGTCCCTGGCCGACACTGGTCCTCGAGATGCACACAGTCCTTGGGGCACGCCCGTGATCCCGCCGCGCCGCGTCGGCTGCGCTACAGCTTCCGGATGGCCAGGGGCATGACAGGCTTATCTCCCTCCACCGCTCTCCTCCTCCTCCGGGCCTCCCTGGCCAGGCTACGAGCTCTTGTCTTTGTCCTTGTCTCGCCCGTGTTCATGCCAGGTGCTTGCCGCTGATCGCTGCTGTCGGAGCGTGATTCGCTGTTGGGGGGCCTGCACAAGCCTGGGGTCTTGGACAACCTGTCTCTGCCCCAATGTTCCCTTCCTGCATGCACCTGTTC